TTCCCAATATCTACAGCAGTCACTATAAATGGGACAGTAAGAAATTTTTCATCAAATGCTGTTCAAAAAGAACATACAAAAGCAAGTGGTGCTTCATCAATATTCAGTGACTTCCATGGATTCCAATTTTCCAGTGCTGGACTCCACGATACCAAACCATCTGAGATGGGTTGTGACGGCTCAAAATGATTCAATTTTTGAGTAATCAATAATGAAACCGGATTGGAAGATGAAGCTTCTGGTGAGGGCTGCACTTCATCAACACCAACCAAGGCAAGATAATGAGCTATTTCCTTAGAAAGCTCGTCACTTACAATGACAGGGATGTCTGCTAGCTGAAAATAAACATGAAGACTAACAGCTTATAAGTTTTAAAAAGGAATGTTCAATAACAAAGATCCATAGATTGCAAGTATTTCTTGATCAACTTTTACTTTGGAATAGTTGGACGGAATTCCCATCTCGTTTCATGCCAAGTGGGTGAGAATCGTCTCTTTGGTGCAAAAAAAGTAACTGAACAAATAAATTTATTTAAACCTACATTTCCCGCTGTCTTTTTTTTTTTCTCACCAGTGTAAGCACCAACTAACTGATTATGAAACAACTGACGCATCAGAGAAAGTGCACATGTTGCTTCGGCAGTTTTCTTCGTTGATCCTTCTGCTCTTGCCGAAAACGCTGAAGAACAGAGGAATTAAGTTCTCTTAACAAACAGTGAATTTTTAACACAACATTTTTCGAATAATTCGTTACTCAGGACATAATAGAAAAAGTAATATTGAAAAAAACTGTGTTTTAATGATCGTTTTTCCTACTGCCTAAATTAGTGTTTCCTACTGGTTTAGTGCCAAAAGGTTTAGAAATAAAAGCGTAGAAAAAAGCACGGATTCCATAAACCACTATCACGTTATCTTCCCATCTAATTTGCTAAATCTACTTTGAAAATCATGATACACCACAACATGACATATACACCATGAATTTACATTCTATAAATTCTTTGTTTTTTCAATGAAAACAGTAACAGCTGGATCCCCACGGAAAAATATAAAAGGTGAATTCAATTTCATAAAAAAGCGCATCTCTGAAAGACAAAAAATATCATTTCTATAAAGTACTAGCACTGTTTTCCTTTCCCTTTTCCGACTACTTAAAAAAAATTTTTTTCTAGAAAATTATTAGTTTGTAATCTCTTTTCTTTGTTACTTTGTCAAAATGCACTTCTGCTAAAAACTTTGTTCAAATTGTCATTTGCATTGATGGTGCTTTAGCAAAAAAAAGTGTACCGAAGCCCGCATATCCATTTAAAAATTATGAGCTAAAATTAATTAGTACTTACTGCACCGTACTTTCGGGACGAAAAGTGACACTTCGGCAACAAAAGTTCTGAAACAGTGATGCTTGAAATGCAAGTGTAACAGTTCACCTTATTTTTTATCCTTTTTAATTGATTTTGATGCCAAATCAATAAAAGATACATGACTTACAGCTTAGCTGAACTGACCAAACATGGAAGGATCCCTGTATTTTGCACCTTTTTTATTTTTTTCAAATTCAATCTTTCAGAGCCATTAACAAATGTGCAGAAACAAGTAAGTGCCTCATAAAGAACTACGAAAACCGGAATCAAAGCAAAAGGCAAAATTGTGAAATTATATTTTGAACGAAAGTAGATTCCAAATAAAATTTGAGTGCGGTGGTCTAGTTAGGTCAAAAAATATTCAAAATTTGCTTTTGCCAATATTCTTTCCCAGCCATAAGCAACTAAGTAATAAGGTTAAAAACAACTCCAACATTCAAATGCTACTAACTTCAACTAAATATACAGAACCTAGCTTTCAACACAAAAATGTAACCTGGAGTTATCAGTGCCAATACTGCGAATATCATATCTTAATGGTGGTTGCTTAATTTTCTGCACAAATTCATTTAAATGCATTTTACTATTGTCAGCCGTCCATCCTCCATGTATATGTGTCCGCAAATCGACCGATTCTGACTAAAAATAATTTTCTGACATCTTTTTTGGTTGAACAGAAAATTTATGGCAAATAGAGATAAGTTTATCAGCTATTTGCTTTTGTATTGTCCATGGACAAAGCACTCAGATAACACCTAAAACCTGAATTTAAAGCAAAAATACTACTTCAAAACTTAAAGTAACTTCTTTTGTTATGAAATTTGTATGATATATTAATGGATTCTTTTTAATTCACCATGCGTAAGCACTTGAGAATAAAAAAAAGGAAAGAGTTAATAACTTTCAAAACTAAGTAATAGACCGAACGTTTGGTGTTGATGATTCCAATCATCGAAGAAAGACATTACACTGACAAAAAAAAAAACTTTTCCCACTTGATAAAAGTTAGTTTTTTCCGAAATCGTCAAAAAAAAGGACAATCAAAGAGAACTAACGAGCGCAATTTCTTCTGCTTTTTGCTCAATATAACGTTGATGTTCTGTTTTAATCCTCGATGACGGGATAAACTGCATATTCATTGAAACGTTAGTTGTTGTGTAGCTATTTTCTTCTGCTTTGTTCAGCAAAATGACATCTTCCACACTGTCCCGGCCAAATGAATCCAGATTTGTTGCCTCCAGCATGGATGCCTAAAATGACACACTTATGCAAATGCAAGAAGGATGGAGAAAAGAAACGAATACTCAATGAAACGACTAATGAACTACTAATGACGTGCTTTGTTATGAATTTATGAACAGTAGTGTTTCTAAGCATTAAAATATAATTTTTTGTGTAAATGAAAAATACAAAGGTATCACAGAAGTCAAGAGATGTTAAATAAATACTTCAGTGTGAAGTATTTACTTTGATACACATAAATAGCGTATCAAATTGAACAACACTTAGTACTGCATTGATATGCACAAATGCCCATGATACTTAATCCAATACCGGACATAAGTGCAAATAAAAAATACGGTAAGCTTCGGAAGTTCTGTCGGATCCAGCAACTTTTGTCGAATTAGAAAATGTGCAAAATCTCTAGCAGCTTTAGTAGCAGCATCCTTCTTATTGACCGAGATTCCTAATCCCACATGGTGCTGTCCTGAAAATTTCCATTAATGATTTTTCGCTGAACATTAAATGAACACCTTACATACAGATAATAATTTTCCCATGAACACTTGTTTTACTCCATGCTGCATTAATACGTATGTCAATAACACCAGTAGAAGCAAAAATTATGGGAAATAAATACGTAAAACCTGGTATACGTAGTTCGCATCGGAAACGTGTTTTTCCACCACAGTTCGCCAAAGGAGTAGTGCTATAGGATGGTGTGCCGAGTTTTCTTTTTCCAAGCCAACCATATAACCATCCTCGGATTTCGTCCGACATAACCTTAATTCTAATATGAAAGCACTTCGATTTTCCAGACAATCAGATCAGCAATATTCCAAGGAAATTATATCTCCTAAATTTCCAACATTTCTACAGAATACCTGCCTTGTTGCAACTAATTAGAGTAAAAGTCATTCAAGTGTACAACTATCGGGTAACATCAGTATTCGTAGGTTAACTAGCTTTGATCTGCCACAAACGCAAAATTATTTAATAACCATCAAATACAGCGACAATCAACCCTGGAAAGGGGATTTGGATGGAGAATGCTTTAAATATCTTTAACAGCTCAAAAGAAATGACATGAATATCTGTCCTTCTCTATCTCCAGTGGGGATTTCACCTAATACTTAGAAATGGAATATTTCTTGGATCACATGTTTTTGGCTTTGACAAGAAGAAGTGATAAAACTTTCCACTGTCCCAGAAATTTCGACCCTTACTCTCTCGGTGAGGAATGTTCAGAGGTATCCGCCATATACGCCATAGGTCTTATAGGAATCCCCAAAAGTAAAGAGGAGCAATACCTTTGAAACAGGTAGGTAACACAAGGACCACCACTACATCTCTTTGGTCCCTGACAGGAGCATTGAAGAATAATGCAAATTTGAGTCTCATCCGGTAAGGTACTAGCGATATTACATGATAAGACATCGGACGTGTAACAAATGTGGAATAAATTTGTCGAAAGACTGCTACTTGAAGTACTACCAAGTCATCACGGAACTTTACCGGATCCCTTCCTTTCTTCTTTGATACGGAAGGTTAGTAATATATATAAAAGTGGAAGGAAGTGCTGCATCAGAGATGATACTTTTGTTTACAACCACTGACAATTTATCAGGTAGCATGTCACCGTGATTAGTGCTATAATGAAGACTGCAGTGAGAAAAGATGAAAAAAGGTAATAATGATAGTGAATTAAATAATAGAAACAATACAGAATACAGAAAAGAATAAATTCAATATAAAAGACAACGAAATATAAGAGTTAGATTATTAGAACAAAATACATATGTATATGGATAAGTGTAATTAAATAATTAGCTTAGATATAGCAAAAAAAATGCTGCATTAATGTTTTTTAATATTTCTGAGAAGAAAAGCAACAGGCAATTAGTATCAAACAATACTTATGATATAACAATCAATATTTATCTCATAACAGCTATAATTTTAAATATGCAGTTATATTTGAAAGAATTTCATTTTCACAGTTATTATTTCTGCTTATACTTCCAGCAAAAAGATGAGCCTGAGTAGCTAGAATAGTCATTTTCAAGACAAAGTAAATCGTCGCTCAACTAAGGCGAGAATCCAAAATTTCAAATTTTCAAATAGAACCATACTCAGACTTTAGAATTCTATCTCGAAATTTAAAAATTTTCTAACTGAAATCTTTATTTGCATATATTTTGAAAAAATAAACCGAAATAAAACAAGTGAAGTTCTGTTTGTTGTGCAATCCTTAAAGAAATTTTCGACATTAAGTAAACAAACATAATAGAAAATATTATTACAGTGAAACAAAATGAGCCCAAATAAGTATTCAGAAGTTGGACAACCTACAGATTTATCATCCATGTATTTCGTGTTACTCCGGAGATATCCCGGTTGCTATTCACGATCTATAAATTCAGCTTCTTTTTTCAGTCATCTGAGATTCAGCTTCTTTCCTCAGTTCTTCCATTTCATACTTTTCAAATGCAATCCTAAGATATTCTTCTACTTCTATAACGCATGGGATCGACTTACACTCCAAGCAGTACATCCAATTACACCGTTCACATTTCCACTGCAACACTTCAATCGAATCACATTCGACTAATTGAATAGTCGACGCAAATTATGTTCTCTTCAAATCTCATTACTGTAGACAATAATTGGAGTACGGTACTTATGAATTACGATTTAATGACTGAATGGCTTGTAAGTATTGCGTTATCTTCATCATTTGACGATTTTTTTTTTCTAGTATATGGTGCTAATAATGGGCAGATTCCATGAAAATTCAATTTTAAAAATAAATAAGTACTGACCAGACTGCAACGATTTCCAGCATTGGAATCACTAGTTTTCTGCTGTCCACAACTACGACATACACCTTTGACTGTATCCTTACCATTATGTTTTAAACTATATTTTCTAAAAAATCTCATTGTTCATTCTTTTTTTTTTCCGTACCACAAAAAATTACATCTTTGTTTATACTTTACGCTAATATGATTTTAAGCAAAAGATAAATGATTTAATTGAATGGACAGATTATCAGATAAGTAATGAAATGAATCAACAAACACGATGATACTGCAAATTTCCTTTGTCAATTCATTGTTCACTGAATTGTTGAGAAATTGTGAGCGATTCATTAGTTCTTTGATAAGATTTTCTCGAAGTTTCGAACTAAGAAAATGGTAAAATGAAGCTTTAGAAAGAAACATGTAAAGGCTAAAGATTAGTTTCCAAAAAAAGAAACCGAACATCAGTCATTGAGGTGATTTAAGAAATCAGCTATACCTATGCTGATACTGCATCAGTTCTATGATGCTAATCGAAAAAAAAAACCTAGTAAATCGTGCTTAGTATCAATGAGGAAATCGTATAATGCTTCACAAAACTGTTGCTAAACATAACAATTTTCAACGTATACTTTGCTTGATATTATGTCTCATTAATTAAAATCAATGAACAAAACGGTATACTTACTCGTAATTATACATAATTGCTGTCTGAAGCAATTTAACCAAGACATTATTTCCATATTTTTGGAAATTTGCTCTCAGAGCAAAATACTCGCAATTAAGCTGCAAAATTTTCAAATTGTATTTATCGGCCAAACGAGCAAGTGCTGGAATTGACTGCACTGAAAATAATTTTTTTTAAAGCAATACTGAAGATTAATACTTATGATAGAACACAATATCCGCCAAATAATAAATCAGTCTTTTCACCCTCAAGAATTCCCATTTTCGTCACACATTTACTTACTTTTATTCCTCATCATTTCATATTCCAAAGGGTTAATTTTTTTTAAAAAAACTGATCATTTTCGCACTAAATATCTCGCACCTATTCAAAGGATAAAAATCAATAGCAAAATCTTGAGAGTCCAGTTAATTATGCAGCACAGAAATTTCTTTTTCGAGAGGGAAAATTTCAATAACCATATCGAAAGCTTCTATATCAGGCATAGCATTTTTTAAATTTAATTTGTCTCTATTTTTTGAATTGTGTGAAGAACATGCTATTCCTGAATAATTTCTTAAATAAACTTAACTACTGATACCCCGAATGATTCGTGGATATATGTTGAAAGTTGTAGGGCACGTAGACTTCAACATGCATGCAATATCATCGTTCTTATCGTATAAACGACTGGTACCGCGAATCCCTTCCATGAAATGATTACTGGTTGTAAGAAGCTCGAAATAGAGTGATTTCTGAAATGTGCAGAAATTGATGTCCTTTTCCTTAGTAGTTTATGCTTTATTTAGAAGATTCTGCTAGATTTGGAAATAATTTGTAATTAGTTGATTTAAGAAGTTGATACATGCACCAACTTCTGTATCAGTATAAAAAAATCATTTGTCTTTCATAGCAGTCTCATTAATACTCTCCTATTCCTATCGGTAGAATTCATGAATGTTTGAATAAGTTGCAAAAAAATTTACACTCACCTTAGACATTTCAATAGGGTCAACATAAAATGTAACATCGCCAACTTCTAGACCGAAATGCCTTCTTTTACTTTGTCGGGTGTAATCAGTCTGCAACTACATATAATTTCTATTAATAAAGATTTCTCTTAAATTACGAAAACTTAAAGTAGGATTTGAATGGAAGAAATTATCTTTATATAAAAATTAACTTTTATAGTAACTAAGCAGATAAACGAATATTACAGATGCTTTAAAGTTTTGTGTATGAATAAAACAATTTACTTCAAAATTTGTGTTCCAATAGCCTCCGCCCAATTGATCGATGTCATCCGTTTGTATTGTTTCATCATCATTCATCTTACATTAGTGCCAATAGCAGTAGTAGTGTTATTCAATTTATTAAGTACACAATTAAGTTTATTAACGGTGGTAGTAATTGGCAACAAATAATAATTTCCTAAATGTCGTTATTTTACGAAGTAGATCTTATCTATCTAAATCACAGGTTTTAATATCACATTAACTGACGGGAAATATAATTCAAATTTCGAACATTCTGGACCATAATGTAGCCAGTTATTGATTCATCTTAAGCGATATAACTTCCTTTGGTAAGCATGTAATAGTAATGATTAGCAGGGAAAAAAAGTAAAAAAACACCTGAGACCTTTATTTGGAAAGTATTTCGTGAAAGATGGGACGAGGGAAACTGTTCGAAACTATCAAGATTTATTAAGTGAACATGTCAGTCAGAAAAAAAGAAGTGTCAAAGTAACAGGTATAGAAATGAAGAGTAATCACTAAATAGAAGAAAACGAAGTATGGACGATTTAAATTAAAATATTAATGGCACAGATTATAAAAGTACAGCTTCCAACTTTTCCACAAACGGAAAATACGGAATAGTACGCTTGGACGAGTGAAACTGGATCGATGGCAAAATCTGAAATGTGCGTTGCTCCTAGCATTGAAAAAAATGAACAATGGTGCAGTTAAGGACAGGAAAGATACTATGAAGTGCTCTCGTTGTATATGTAGATATCTCATATGGAAATAAGGGACGAATTTAATAGCGAATGAGTGAAATTACTATTCCACCAGTAAATATTCAAGAAGTTGTTATATTACAAAAGAAATAGTTTACTTCATTTAGTTGACTTACAAGTTTTCTGCCAAGCTATAAAAGGAATTCAAGAACGGTCACGAATAATGCCAAATGAGTCAGAAAAATTTTTGCTAACTTTTGTTAAATATTGATGAAACGAAACGAGGATAGAAGGTTTCTTGACAAATAATTGGCGTCAAATGAGACAAAGATGAGGAAGAGAGAGAGAATTTATTAGAAGCAAACTAGGATCCAATATGAATTTATACCTACATGCATAATAAAGTTATTCTACCGTAATATCATTATCTAAGTTGATTTCCCTTTTATATTTCATTTTATCACTACCGATATAAATAAAATGTTATTTAAGTAGTACTACTGCCTGTCATCTTAGTACCATCCCCATCAGTATGCTATTACTGCCTGTAGCGGTAGATTAACTTCTACTAATTGCTGGAGGTTGTTGTCAATGGAGTCAAAAAATATGACTTATTGTCATTTATTATGAAATAATCACAGTAGCTAATGATTTAAAAAATAGAAAAAATTGTGCCGAGCGCATAAATCACAATCAGTTTGTAACATATAGTAAAAGAGTAGAAGAAAAACGAAACCTATAGTGAAATACAAATATATAACTTTCTTGCATTATTTTTTTGACTGATCTTAGTGACTAAAATTAATTTGATCTTAAACCCATTACGAGATATCATATTCTATAAGATTTCTGATAGTGCCAAAGACTGAGTAGACGAAAAGCAGTTGAGAGCGCGCAACTTCTAGAAACTTCAAATAAGCAAGAAGGGATATCCCCATCCTATAAAAGCAAATTGAAATTTCGGAAAACATAAGTGATTTCAATTCATAATGAGATGAAGTTATCATATAAAAATAAGGAACGGAATAATTTTATTTATGAGCCTTAAATAAGTACAGAAAAATTGCGCAGCCTCATGCACACGACACTATTCCCACCATAGATATTATTTTCTTTTAGCAGAATGTAATTAGTGTAGTGATGGCTGAAGACTACTAACTAAAATGTTGTCCCTTCATTATATTGTAAAATTATATTCCACTGTAAAAGTGCTGCTTTTGAGCACACATTGTTTATGTTGTTTGATCGAATGATTGGAAGATTAGATCAGTTTTTTAATCCTTTTTAAATTAAAAAAAAAAAAATAGAATGTCACATTAAACAAAGCTTCCAATGAAATTACAGGATATTTGAAGTAACAATATTTATTTCTTGTTTATTTCGCAAGATTTCCCTTTCCTTTTTAATGAATATGAAATTAAAATGTGAAACATAAGCATCAACAAGACAAATTCCTATTACTTCCAACACAAATATATTTTTCCTGTCCAAATAATCATTGAATCAAAAGACTGCAGCAATCCTTGTTGAATTCTTACTTAGTTTAATAAACTTACTGTTTAACAAAGCACATGATTTTCCCAATTCTATGTGAAGCTTTTCTTTTAATTTAAAAAGTCTTTTTCATCATACCATCGACTGACCTTCTCCAGTCAATCAATGTGTTGGTTCCTAACCCACTAATAATTGCTTAAATTTAATAGCTTATAATTGGATTTTTTGTTTTGTTGCAAATATGTGAATACATTTCAGCAACTACTACAGGATACGGCTCTTATCAAAAAATCCATAACAGTGTTCTTAAAACATTTATTACTTCTGAATAATCCCGAATGGTCATCAACAAAATGTTCAAAACTCGGGAACATTCATCCAGAACTTTATATTTTTATAACTGCACAAGGTGTAGTTAATTTTTTTTTACAGCGACAATAACGGAAATGGCAGAGATATTGCATTTTACATTAAAGTCAACAATCTATAATCATGATAAACTCTAAAACAACTTTGCTCTAAAATTTAATGAAACTAAGATACTGAAAATATATATGCGACTTATATGAGATATCATATAGTACTGTGAACTTATCTTTCCTCTATATAAATCTTATATTCCTTTTGCCGAAACTGTATGCGACATGACTTACTAGAATCAAAGCATTTCAAAAAAATGAATCCTTTCTTTTCAATCCAATCCACTCAACATAATACATCACTTGAATGCCATTTATAAGATAGAGTAGTGAAAAAATGCTGAAGTTTTACCAATATTTTTGCAGTAACGAACTTTTTTGACAAATATGACCCAGGAAATGCTGACAAAATAAACAGCTATCGATGCCTGATGGATTGTCTAGTATTTCATGAAACCATAAAACGATTAAAGTAAGTAACAGCTAGAAGATAAACTGGAAAGCATGAAGTGAGAAATGTACTGTATTAACTAAGATCATCAGAATAAAAAAATTAACTGAAATTATAAAACTGGTATTGCTAAAGAAAGCAAATCGAAGAGATTATGCTTCTCTACCGTGTATCTATAAAAATCAATTACATCGTTCCATAAGACTTTAAATATACCTAATACTCTACCTTTTTATTGGTCTTTAATCATTTCACTTCTAAAAACCAATCTTGCTGTAGAGATGAACTACGTATTATTATGCTATGTTAATGGAATTCAACGACTCCATCACCAATTTTACCAGTTCATTTATATCCATTACAGGCCGTCTTGCTGGATACTAATAAATGAATTAGTATCTGTGCCTTGACAATAGGTGTCACTTGCACGTTTAATCCGATCATTCTGCCGTATAACTGACTTACTAGTGAATCCATCCCTTTTTCTTCGGCAACTATAGCGAAATTAAGTTTTTCACGTGCTACTGTGTTATAAATATCAATATCATCTGAACACTTCCATCATCCCACCACTAGTCGAAGCAGCTTCGATCACAAAATTTTTCGCTGTATAAGTTATGATAAATTATATCCAGTTACTATTGATAGAGGCTTCGCATTTGTGATTGTAAGCATCGAAATTTCCTTTCTCCCTAGGGAAGTTCAAATATTCCGCACCCATGATAACAAAAAAACTCGTCATATATATTCTCTATGGATTTTACATATATTTTTTATTTCCAGTTGCCACTCCATTCCGGCAATCCACTTTCTTCCTTTTATGCTTTAAACTAGAAGAAACTGCACTGAAGAGAAGCCTATCCAGAAATAGACGACATCGCAAGTATCAATGAAGAGCGTATCAGCAGTATGGCATACAACACAGTGAGCAGTGAACTTCAACAACGACGAGAATCGCCAATGCCTCTCACTGCCACTCAGCGACAGAATCACATTAAAGAAATCGGAATAAAGACTTTCCCACCACTGCAATGGGTCATGTAGACCGCGGCCCGTCACAATTCAACGACTCCCACAAGTCGCCGATTTGAAAACTGCGCAATTCGTAAACTGTGTTATCGGTTATCGGTGGTCGGGGTGCAGGGAGAATTCACCACAACACCATGGGGTTGCGGTCGGCCTTGTCCTTTTCCATTTCTGTTATACTCTCAGTCATTGTGGCTGTTACAATGCATTATCATTCATTAATTTCTTTCTCTCTCATCTAGTGTTCCCGTCACTGTCATTTTTTCTTACCTTACCTCTTCATCCTAAATGGCATTTTGTTGGTACCACTTCTGTCTTTCAGTATTTTGCGATTTTTTCACTTGAACAATTTGCTTCATTAATTGTGCGAGAAAATATGGGGAAGGGTGACTGTTAGCGCATTCGATAAAAAAAATGTCCGATTTTTCAGATCGTTCGTGGAATCCATGCACTTTTTTAAACTTACTACTGTTCTTCATTAGATATCATTAAATGACAAAGAAAAAACTTTGCAGTAGAATGATTTTGGTGAAAAGTTTGACTGCGATGGCAACAGAGAAATTACTGTTGAAAACATCAGGTCAGCAATTCTTGGATGGCGTCGATTATATGTATCGAGTGGGTTTATCACCGGATCGCTTATCAGTTATGGAAACGACCAGTGGTAAATTCATCTTACAGTTCCACTCACGATGCGATCTTCGTCCATTCGCTGTATGAATATTTCACTGAACTTATTGGTTACTTCAAACTCGCGTGTTTTTTCGAGGAAGGATAATATCAAGAGTTATCATTTGTTGCTGTTGCTGCTTAAATCTATATATTTTTCCGTTTTCGAGTAAACTAGTTCTTTTTCACTCTTAAAACTGAATTTAGGCCAATTATCCTACTTTCCAACGGTTACTTCGTGGTATAGTCCACATTAGAGCATGGCGAATTCAGTCTATTGAATTTTTAAATGTTGATTTCAAAATGGCCGAT